AACTAATACACTATCAGAGTTTTATATATTTATACTTCTCATTCAACCACAGTTAAATTCACTCTATCTAGGAGGCTCAGTTTATATGGATAGTTTTTATTTTTTACAATAACAAGCTGGAACGAAAACAAGCAAAAATTAAATAAAATTAACGACTTTCTACTTCTTGTCCTTTTTTAAAATATGTAAGAAGTAGAAGTAAAACGTGGGCTGAAAAATAATTACTCAAGTAAAGTACAGATACCCAAAAATTCTACTTAAGTACAGAAATTTGTGCAGTAGCCTATTTGTACTTGGTTACTTTACAACTCTGTCTTCCATTAAGTAGAAGTAAAATACAGAGCCCGCGAGGGGCATGGGGGATATTTTTCTTTTGTGTTACCTCGCAATATTGTTTTGTGTTCCCGCGCAAAAGTTTGATTTCTATATGAACTGAATTAAATAAGACTTTTATTTTTGAAATATCCGGTTACAAAAACAGGATGTGTCGCCACAAGTTCGTGAAATTAGCTTTGAAGTTGCGTGGCTGCAGTGCTAAAATATCAGCATATGACATACTTCCATGCGTGGCTGTGATATATTCATTCTGAAGCTGAATTATAGGCTAACTCACTAATGGTGAACATGTGAGCTTGTTAATAAACCGGCAGCACAACAGTGACAAACCACTTTTGCGAAGTAACGCAAAACTTTTGCGTGGGAACGCAAAAGAAAAAAATTCCCCATGTCTCCTTGCGGGCTCAGTAGTAAATAACACCTGACTCTGGTGCAAAAAAAATAGTTGTTGCTTCCATCTCCATCTGTAGAGGAAGAAATCATGATTGATTTCCTGTCTACTTGTTTTGAAATGTGAATTTTCTTTATTTAAAATTTTTTCTATCAAATGGCCAGATTTTCTAATGAACAAAAAGAAACAGTTTACGTGCCTGTTTGGGTACAAATTAGCATTTGACGTTCCTTAGGCAGTGGTATTTGTTGAACCGTGTTGTGTTCACTGAGTGTTATTTGTGTTGATTGAACCCTGCTGTGTAGGAGCGGACAGTGTTGAGTATCTAACCGTGGAAGGCCTCATATCAGCCGTTCAGGAGGGAACCGCCTCCTTCCAGGACAAGATCTGCTCTGGGAAGATGGTGGGTCACTGCACCGCCTGCCTGACAGGGAAATACCCTGTGGAGCTGGAGTGGTGACTCTTCTGACGTCTCAGTCCTGCTGTCTGCACCTGGACCTCGTCCACAGCCGTCCCTCTGCAGCTGGAGTTCAGCTCTGGTATGGGCTGCCGTTTGTAAAGTTACACAGTCAAAAATTACCACCAATATTTTTGTTTTATTTAGCTTTTTATAAGAAAAAAATAACAGATTTATTTTTCAAAGTCAGTTTTTCACCATATGATTCATACATTTATAAATGTCATAGTTTATAAACTAAATATTTAACTTGTGACTTAAATATTTAGCTACCAAGTTAAATATTTAGCTAGCTACCTAAATATTTAGGTTGCAACCTAAATATTTAGGTTGCAACCTAAATATTTAGGT